CCTGATATGGATCAGTAACCATTTTAGCATCTAATAAAATCATATACTTAATAAAAATGATCTCCAAAACATCTGAATTTCCTATAGTTGAGCATATAGCCTTTTGTTATATAGATATCTCAAAATCCATTTGGTTGCTTTCTTATGATCCAAAATTGAGCTGCATAGATATCTGCCCAGAACCAGAAAGATAAAGTTACTCTCACTTAATTTGTGATACACAAAATCATCTATTGTATTTACCTCAAAACCAAAAGAGATAAAAAAAATTGATGAAAAATGTGGTACCACGCATAGGATATCCAAAGTCGAGGTTGTTGAGTTTGCGTATTCTGAATAGGAGATTGAACAACATTATCGATAACTGATTCATAATCGGCATACTATCGAAAGCAATAATAGGAATCAAGATTGATTCCTCCTTAAGGACAATGTTTTAACCTTGTTTCTCCCCCAAACTCAACATCCTCAAAGAATGTTGCTCTATCCAAAAATGCAAGGTCAATATCCATGCAATTGAGAACTAACATAATGCCCTCATTCCATTCCTTAAAGTTAATATCATTGAGTACATGAATCATAAATGTGATCAATGTTAACAAATATAATACCATAATTCAAACATAAGCAAATCTATTTTTATGTTCCATAAACCGTAATCAATAAATTCAATTTATGACATCTTTACAAGGTATCGACACAACATTAATATCAAGTCTTTGGACAATAATACTAACTTGCAAGAGATAACCTTGTTTTAGAGATAAACATTGACAATAAATCATGTCAATTAACAAGCCCCTATTTGGATTGACTTATTAATCATATGGAACCAAAAAAAAAAATCATCACATGTTTATCACTATATATATGGTTATTCGGCCAAATATCAGTCTATCTTTGGGTCGGCTAATACCACATTAATAAACACAAAAACTATAAATTTTGATAATACAAATTGACAATATATCAAGTCGTTCAATAAACCCCTCTTTGGATTGACTTATTAATGACATTTAACCTAAATATTGTTGCATATTTATCATCAAACATGTGTTTATCCGGCCCAATATTAACCTACCTTTGGGTCGATTAATATCCGTATTAATAAACACAAACCATAAAATTTAAGTTCTTTGTAAATTAATTTTCACAAAAAAGATCCCTTTGGCGATATATTGTGTTAATTAATTTACTCTGAAAACAAATAAACATGTCATAATTGTAGTTTATTGACAACCTGAAATATTTGTCAAAGTGTGACATTGTGTATAAGATATACTTTTAGGTGGAACACAATTCACATAAACAATAATAGATGTTACTTTGGTAACAATATTATACTAATCAGTGACTCAAAAACAAAAACGATATCCATAAGACAAAGATTCAAGTATTCAATAATAGCGAGAATCAAACTAAATAATAGCGAGAATCAACATTATTATGGAGATTTGATGCAACACATATATCGACAAAACGTCTTAAAACCACCCTAAAATGCTTGAACTTAAAAAAGAAAAGTTCTAAAACCCAAAATTTTATCTAGGCTCCTGGTCGTTACAATGTTAATGTCATAAATGAAATTTATCAACCGCATAAAAAATATTTAATAGACCTTGATAAATTAACGAAACCATATCATAAACTTTTTACAATTTTAAAATTGAATAACAAATTAAACATATCAAAAAAAAGGTTTCAGCTAAAAGCATGAATTACTTTTATGGGCGCAAACCTTATCACACATTTAATTACCATAATCCTAAATTTCCATCAAACAACACAACACGAATAATTAATAAAATTTCATTTAATAATCCTTATTAAGAATCAATAAAAACCAAAATTTGCTAATGACATGAAAACATCCATTACGAATTAGCCCACAGTTTGAGTATTGTCTACAATCCAATTGCTAATACCAAATAATAATAATAATAATAATAATAATAATAATAATAATAATAAGACAAAACTTAAAAAATGGTCCCTGTGGTTTTCGAAAATCTGAAGTTTAGTCCCTAATATTTAAAAACCTCACAGATGATCTCTGTGGTTTCAAAACTTTTAACAAATGGTCATTTTCGTTAACTCCGTTAGCTTTTAGCCGTTAAATGGTATTTATGTCATTTCACTGCCACATGGACCATTTATGAAAATTTGCCTTATTTAAAAAAATATATATATAATTATTTAATATTAAAGGCTCTCTCTCTCTCTCTCTCTCTCTCTCTCTCTCTCTCTCCTTATTGTCAACCTACGACTTCTTTACTCAGACCAGTTAAGTAACTAAGCTTTTGGCTACTGATTTTGTTATTTCTTCATGATTCTTAACTTTTGGTTCTCTATTTCTTCTCTAGTGCTTGCTTCTTGACTTTGTTGCTGAAATTCTTAGATCGAGGTTGGGGTAACTGCCTAATTCGTTTACCTTGTTGGTATTTGGGATGAGTTCGTGCAGAGCCTTAATCCTCTCTGCAATAAGAACAAGTTTTTGAAGAAAACATAATACGAGGTTTACAAGAAAGATAAGAAACATGGGCCTGAATCTTCTAGCTCTACTTCTCTGACGTGGCTGTGATGGTGCTCCACCACCAGTGTTGCAGTTGCGGTCTGTACTTGGTTCATCAACAACGTTGTTGCCGCTCCCGTAGATCGAATTTCTATCAAGCCAATAGCAATAATAATCAAAAAGCATCGATTTCGTGGATCAAGGGTCGTTCAGCCTGCCATCTATATTCCTCAAAATCAAACCCTAGAACTATATTAACCACCATTGTTGACAACAATTCCAACAATGGAATTTGGAACGTGGGTCAACTACTCACGATTCACTTGTGGTTTCCGGTCTAAGACACAAACACGGGACGAAACAATAAAAAGCACGCACACACATATAGGGAAGGGCGGTGATTATCACGTCCACAAATTGATGATGACAACAAGCAGCTGACAGTGGTCGGGAGATGTAATCGAAATCGACGGCGCTATGGTTTCTAGGAGGTGGTGTCGTCGTTGGAGTCGATGGGTAGTGTGATGCAGTGATAGTCGATGGTGGCTATGAAGGTGCTATGAAGGTGGAGGTCGGAACAGGGGAAGGAGACTAGTGGTGTACGATGGGTGATTTGGCGGTGGTGAGTATGTGTTTGCAGAGAAATGATAGAGACGGGAAGGAGGGGAAAATTGTGTTCTCCAATTGAGAGAGAGAGACCTTTAATATTAAATAAGTATATTTTTTTTTCTTTTTTTTAAATAAAGCAAAACTTCATAAATGGTCCTTATACTAGTGAAATGACAAAAATGTCTTTCACTTAACGGCCAAAAGCTAACGAAGTTAGCGAAAATGACCATTTGTTAAAAGTTTTGAAACCACATGGACCATCTGTGAGGTTTTTAAAGATTAGGAACTAAACTTCAAATTTTCGGAAACCACAAGGACCATTTTTGAAGTTTTGTCCGATAATAATAAAAAGCTACCATGTGTGATATTTTTAACAGCTTTGAGAGTTGCAGAAACATTACTTCAATAATATAATAATACCCAAAAAGGCAAAAATAAAGGTGAGTACATGATAATCACATACACGCATATCAGGCTTTAAAAAGGTTATTATTAAATTTGACATAGAGGTCACGTTCCATACCCTAAAGCATAACGAAGTACTATAACCTTTTCAATTGAAAATAAAATAGTGATTTGTCAATATCCGTTTTACACGCAAGCCATAAATTTCACTAAATGCAAAACAAACGTTGTGATATTTAATGAGTTTGTGTCTACTAATATAGGGTGTAGTGTGCATATTATATGGGTACAAGTAGCAAGCATGTCAAGAATGGTCACTGTCAAATTCATAAATCAACACATAAATCAACAGTAAACATTCTTTTATTGATAATTGAACAACAACGTCAAGAAGCAAAAGAGAAAAGCAAATAGTAGATAAATATGACACCTCAAACAAAGGGCACTACTACGGATAATATATCTCACACATCCTTTTTTATACAACGTCAGTCAAGAAAAAAATTTCGACGTCAAGGAAGAATATACAGGTATGTAAGATATTAATCAAAAAATTTCTAGTAACAAATTCAAGTAGGCTCTGATACCAATTGTTGGTTATTTTCATAACCAAAAACATAAAATGCGGAAGCTTTAGATCTTAATCTCGAATTTATCAAAAGAAAACTTTAAACGTTAAAGAATGATTACATACCTGATTCATTATGATTTCCGGATATGAAGACTAGGATAAGTTTTTCAGTTGATCTGAAGACCACCTTTAAGAACCCTCGGCAATGAGACTCACGAATTTGTTTATGTAATTTCGTGTGTCTTGATTTGCTCCTCATCACATGTATTTATAGATGAAAATAAACTCTAATGTGAGAGATGAAAATGATCTTGAGGATCTTGAGTCAAACCGGAAACTCAACCCACAAGGTAAGTGAATATTCTATAAATCGGTCCATCAATAATTTACAT